TATGCACGTGAGCGCACTCGCACGTGTGTGTGTGCTTGTTTGTGTGTATGTGCGTATGTGCGTGCGCGCGCGCGTGTGTGTTTGTATGTGTGTGCGTATGTTTGTGTGAGTGTTTGTATGTGTGCGCGTGCGCGCGTGTGTGTGTGTTTGTGTATGCGTGCGTGTGTGTGTGTGTGTGTGTGTGTGTGTGTGTGTGTGTGCGCGTGCGTTCGTGTGTGTGTATGAGCACGCCCCTCTGTGTGTGTATCTGTTTTCAGTGTGCACATCTGGTTTTGAAAGTGGCTACTTTTTAAGAGAAGGAAGATTACGATAAACATAATAAGCTTCATATTACATACAAATATACTCGCGCAAAGCGTGTACGTCTGCTGCTTGTTAGTAATATATTATACTAAACATAATAAGACAGCCGATTTCAGCTATCTGTCTCCCCGCCTGACAGCAACAGTTAGTTTTAGTAAGTTTTTTACGCACTTGCAACACAATAAGGTCATATAAGTCCCGTGACAGCAACAATCAAGAATAATTAAGACGTTCTTTTGTATTTGATTATAATTGATAAACATTGTAACACAAATAGCTTTTTTGTCTTCTTCTAACTGCGAAAACCAGTGACGTCATGTCGATGACGTCATGCCGCCAGGTTGCTAACCCGCGCCACTACCCTCAGAGCTGCAAGAGAAGAGAAACAATCAGTTGAAATGGAATCAATGGATTATTTAACCACTCAAACAATCATTCAAATGATCTATCTTTCCTTCCATTAAAAAACATTCAACCACTCAAACAATCATTAAGATTCTCTATCTTTCTTTCCATTAAAAATAAAATTCAAATACGATACTCAAACAACCGTTCGTACCATTAAGAAAAGATTCAACCACTCAAACAATCATCCAGATTGTCAATTGTTCCTTGTATTTACTGATAACCAAGTTAACAAATTAACCATTCAATCCTTCAATCGACCTGTGAGTTCTTTTATCAATCTCTGGATCTGTTGACGAATTGATTAAAATCTCTTTAATCCATTTATCCATCTTTCCATCCATACATACGTCCATCCATCCATCCGTCCATCCATCTATCCATCCATCCATCCATCCATTTTTTAAATGACTTAAAAACAAAAACAAAAACACACTAAAAGACCCCCCCAACAAAAAAAACAACAAAAAAACAAAACAACAACAAACAAACAAGCAAACTTAAATTTATGAGCTAACAATCAAATAGTCAGATAATTTTACAAATGTGGAGGTTGTAATGAAAGACAACTGGCCATGCTTTTGAGTCAATCGGATGAGCGAGCGAGTATCATGTTAGGTAAGTAAACTGTTGTCTGAATGAAAGGACCAGCGGAGGAATATCAGATTGAACGAACAGTATAAAAGAATGCATCTACGAATACATTAGCAGTTAAGATAATCACAAAACGGACGAGTGAATATATTTATGAACTTATAATCTACGTGTAAGTAATCCGTGAAACAGATACATGCACGACTGAACAAAGGATCCAATGATTAAAACGAATAAATGATGAGAAAGAAATGAATGAAGAAATGAATGAATGGAAGAATGGATGAAGAAATACGTGAATGGATGAACAAACGAATAAATGAATGAACAAATGATTGAAGTAAAGAATGAACGAACTGTTGAGTGAATGAATGAACGAATGAATGAACAGATGGACGAACAAACGAATGAACAAACTAATGGACGGACGAACGAACGGATGAATGAATGATTGAATGAATGGATGAATGAATGTCAGCGACTCACGTCAAGCTCTCTTCTGAGGTGACGCTAGTGAGAGACGTTGTCCTGTGGGGTGGAGAAAAGAGAGGGGGGGGGCGAGGCAATGTTGTGTCAGGTCAAGAGTACACATTGATAATGGTGTCAGTACGATTGGTAGAATAACACAGGGAGCGAGAGAGAGAGAGAGAGAGAGAGAGAGAGAGAGAGAGAGAGAGAGAGAGAG